AGTTTGTGACTTTGTGTGTGTGGAATGTATGCTTTAATAGTAGTTGTACAGTATGCTTCTACTATTACAAGATGTCCATTGGTAGTTCAATCTGTAAATGTACCAAAATAATGAAATAATTATGACCATTGGTAGCTCAGTATGCTTCTAGTATTACAAAATGTCTGAGTATGCTTCTACTTGTACATTCAGGTCTGAGTATGCTTCTACTACTACAAAGGTCTGAGCATGTTTATACCACTTCGAAATGTCTTACTGTCCTTGAAGTAGTATAATTAAGGCCTTTACAAAAAACAAAAAATATAAGGCCTATACGTTGATCCCAATATCCCCATACTTGGCAGTACATGAAATTCATCACTAAAGATGATGATGATGATCATCATCATCTTCAATTATGAAGTTCCCCTGACTTTCAGTATCCTCTGCTTCTTGCCCTACAATATGTCTTGTAGCTTCCAAAAGTGCAATATCTACCTCAATTGAAATTGCAAGTCTCCCTTCTGCCTGCATCCTATCCTTTGCATTATGTGGTAGCTTGTAGTTGTTTCCCCCCTGCACTTTCATTATTTCAATCATAACATACTGATAGCTTAGCCATACTTTGTTCAGAGTCATAAGGGATAGTTCTTTGAATGCATCATCAATTGCCTGTAACAGTTCATCTACTGTCTTAGGTGCATTCTGGTCTTTTAAAGATTGTATTGCCCTAAAAAAACCTAGGTCTAGGATGTTAAGGTCTGGAGAATTGGATGGCTGGTTAGTAAGTGTGATACTAAACCCATCAGCCATGGAAGCAGTCATATACTCTGCATCAGCTTATGAAATGTGTGGCCTTGCATTGTCTTGTTGTATTATGATTTCTTTGCTTAACTGTGGAGGCCATTTTTCCTTGATTGCTGGGAGGACTGTGTTGATTAACATGTCCCTGATCACTGTCTGATTTACCTTAAGGATAGGCTTGGTTTCCATGACACCTGCAGGTTTGTTTTTGCTTCTTCTTTTTGCCGCAACCTATTCAACAAATGGAAACATGCCTATTTTTCCATCACAAATGACCTCACCACTTTCTGAAAATAGGGGCCTACCCACCACACCTAGGGACATTACCTTAGTTATGAACCTCTTAGATTTGCATACTCTGTGTGGATCAACCTCTTCCAAGGCCATGTAATATCTTTGAGAAGTTTTTGTCATGAAAAACCATTTTTCATCAATGTGAATGACATTATGAAATGTTGGAAAAGTAGGCTTTTGTGGCACTGAATTGTCTACCTGCCTAAGACAGAACTTCAGTCTTTCCAATTTATTTTCATCAGTCAGAAATGGCTTTATTGCATTTGAGTGGCTTCTGAGCTTACCTCTGTGAACCAATATGTGGACACTAGACTTTGATATTGAGCTGGCAGCTGCTAATGATCTTATGGTAGTCCTTTTATGGAGTGGGATCTGTGATATGTCAGATAGATCAAATTCTATCCTTTTGCAGCCAGAATTACCACTCCACTTCCTCTGCACATCTACTGCATCACCTTTTAACACTTGTTTTTTAACTGTCTCCCAAATGCCAGAAATAGTTCTTCTGGACACTTCAAACTGTCCAGCAAGTTTTTCGAAAATACCTTTATGAGCTTTCAATTCCCCCAAAAAGTCCCTCCGAGTGGACATTAAGAGTGCATCTGATATGCTAACTTTTTCCATGTTTGAAAGTCTTTTTTTTTCGCACTACATCACCCTCACCATCTGATATTACTATTTCCAGGTGTACGCCTCCTGGTGTGGAAGAAGCCGAAGGCATTGTGGGAGCTGAAGAAAACGTGGAAGAAGCAGCAGCTGTGGACGATTCCCCAAGTGTAGATGCTGCCATTTTTTCCCAGAATATGCGTGTGTGTGTGTGTGGAGTGTATGGTAGATTTGTGAGGAGGAAGGATTATATGTAATGAACTTAAACCTAAACTCCCTCCTTTTTTTTGGCCTTGCCGCCTAACTTATGCAGATTTAGATTTAATATGAATATTGTTTACTATTCACATGTCATTCATATCTACTTTTAGTCATTTCAATCCTACTTAAACTTTTTACCACACCTTTTACCCCTTTCTTTATCCCTTTCCTAACCCCATTCGGCTAAGGGTATAATAGGAAAGTCAACCCACCCAACTTTTTGCATAAATTTGCGATACCGGTCAAAACCGGAAGAATTTTCCGGGACGGAGGGAGTATTTTTTTACCTAGCCCATCCCATTCAACTATCCCCTGCGCACAAAGAATAAAGAAAATGGAAGAACGATTGAAACCCGCGATGATTCGATGAAGAAGGCGAGAACGGAGAAGAAGTGGCAACCCTGCGACTGCGAGTCTACGATGAAGACGAGAACACCAATCCACTAGCCACGCCATGTTCCGCCGTCGACGCCGTGCTCCCGCCGTCCTGCTCGTCTCTGGAATTGCCTCAAGCTCTGGGCCTCTGGCACAACCGCAAGTGAGTATTTTACTATTTTAGACTTTCTCTTATTTTGTGATGATTGTGTTAACTTAAACTGTAAATTTGTAATTTTTAGCCTTTTAGAGTGTTAGGGTTAGTCCTCAGTTAATCAATTTTTTGAATTGCTAATGATAAATTTTGGTTTTTATATAGTTTATTATAAACATTTATGTCTTTATGTATTTACCTTTCAGTATTGTAAAATAGTTTTTCTAATTTTTTGTGAAGGATAAAGTTAATCTGTGAATGACTGAAAGATGAAGAAGCAGACAAGCATTGAATATCATTTTAAAAGAAAAACTATTGATTCGTGTTGTAGTCCGAGTAATCCGGTCAATGCGGAAACTAAAAATGTGGAAGTTAGTAATACTTCCAAAAACTTGGGTTGTTCTAGTCTTTCATTTGATATCAAGAATCTAGAACGTGATCCCGGAAAACGCCTTTAGATATGGGAATATCCTGTTAATCAAAGAGATGAAGTTATTCGAGCATATTTGGAGATGGGACCATATCAAATACATCTTGCAAAGTATCCCCTGTCCGATGACAAACATCCTCGAAGATTTCAGTTTTCTTGGTTTCAAAAGTTTCATTGGTTGGAGTATTCCCCCACACAAGATGCAACATATTGCTTTCCGTACTACCTTTTTGCAAAGCCTATAACTCCTCAGGGAACCGATGCTTTCACTGTTAAAGGTATTAATAGTTGGAAAAAAAGTTAATGACGGGGCTAATTTTGCTTTCCTGAATCATGTGACTCAAGATCCATGTTCTCCACACAATAATTCTTGGAAAAGTTATCAAGATTTATTGAATCAATCTCGCCATATTGACAAAGTCATCAAAGCACAAACTCTAGAGATGAAGGAAGTTAACCGCTTACGGGTTAACCGCTTACGGGTTATGACCTCTATTGATGCTGTTCGGTGGTTGGCTTCGCAAGGATGTGCTCTACAAGGTCATGATGAATCCTCTACTTCTAGAAATCGAGGTAATTTTCTTGAAATGGTTTCACTTTTAGCATCATATAATTAACAAGTTGCTAGTGTTGTCTTGGATAATGCTCCAAAAAATGCTATGTATACTTCTCCCAAAATTCAAAAGGAGATCTTACACATTCTTGCTAATAAAGTGCGCCATAGGATTTGACATGATATTGGTAATTCTAAGTTTTGCATTCTTGTTGATTAGGCACGTGATGAATCTAAGACAGAGCAAATGGCTATTATTTTGAGATTTGTTGATGAAAAGGGGTTCATTAGAGAGCATTTCTTTGATGTTGTGTATGTTAGAGATACCACAACATTAACTCTGAAAAAAGAAATTTGTGCAGTTCTTTCAAGATTTAGTCTTGATGTTCAGAACATTCGTGGTCACGAGTACGATGGTGCTAGCAATATGCGGGGAGAATGGAATGGATTGAAAGCATTATTTTTAAATGATTGTCCTTATGCCTACTATGTTCATTGCTTAGCACATCGGTTGCAATTAGCATTGGTTGATGCTTCTAGAGAGGTGAAATATGTGCATATTTTTTTCACCGATTTAGTCTTTATTATTAATGTGACTAGTTCTTCTTGCAAATGAAATGATGAATTAAAGGAAGCTCAAGCACTTGAAATTGCAAAAATGTTGGAAATTGGTGAGCTTGAAACAGGCAGGGGACTTAATCAGGTTGGTACATTACAACGAGCTGGAGAAACTCGTTGGAGCTCGCATTTCAGTTCTGTATGCAGTTTGATTAGGATGTTTGTTGCAACTTGTTCTGTTTTAGAAGATGCTGAAGAGAATGACAATAACTATTCTACTCGTGGAGATGCAGCTGGAGCACTTAAGAAGATTAAATCTTTTGATTTTGTTTTCTTGTTGCATCTTATTAAAGAAATTATGGGCATTACAGATCTTCTATGTTAGCATCTACAAAAGAAGTCCCAAGACATAGTAAATGCTATGCATTTGGTGTCAAGCACCAAAATGTTGACCCAAAAGTTAAGGGAGGGTGGATGGGATAACTTCTTAGAAATTGTTAAAGAGTTTTGCAAAAAGCATGAGATTGAAGTTCCTAATATGAAGTCTCCTTATGTGGTAAAACACAAACGCCATGATCAAGAAGGGTTTGATATTGAATGTCACTATCGGGTTAATATGTTTTACGCCGCCATAGATTCACAATTGTTGGAGCTGAATAGCAGATTCATTGAACATATAATGGATCTTCTTACTCTTAGCGGTGCTTTGGATCCTAAGGACTCATATAAGTCCTTTAACATTGATGATATTTGTTCTTTAGTGGATAAATATTATCCCTTTGATTTTATTGAGCAGGAGAAGGTGAACTTGAGGTTTCAATTACAACATTATAAGCTCAATGTTCTAAACCATCCAAAGTTGGCGAATTTGTCTACAATGGGTGAACTATGTCAAGGATTAGCAGAGACAGATATGTCAAAAATGTACTTTCTTATTCATAGATTGATCTGGTTTTGATGACTCTACCGATTTTGACAGCAACAACAGAAAGGGCTTTTTCAGCAATGCAAATTATAAAAACAAGGCTTTACAATAAAATGGAGGATGAGTATCTTGCAGACAACCTTGTTGTTTATATTGAAAGAGAAATTGCTAAAAGTTTTGACTCAAAGGCCGTGATTGAGGAATTTATCTCATTGAAGGAGCGTCGGGCACAACTCTAAGGTACTAACTTTATTATTGTGTAATAATATATTTGTCTCTTCTTCTAATTTTTGCTTATGGTTTAATACTTCATTTAATTACTATTATATTAAGGTTATAACTTATAATAATAAGTGCCTAGATTTTTTTTTTAAATTACCGCCCCCTCAATATCAATTTCCTGGGTCCGCCCCTGAGTCGAGTGCTTCTTCTAATATGAGAAGCCTTTTTATAGTTGGGGCAAACAACTCTTGATCTGAATCATATTCCGAAGGCTCCCCATCTGAAGCATCTTCAAAACCCAATTGAGAACCACCCTTGATTGCTTTATGTTGGCTTTGCTCGGGAAACGAGACTTGAATAGGTGTAACTTGCATGATTTCCTCAACATTACTCCTCTCTTCCCCGGATTTCTTGAACATACCCTCAAGATCGTCGTCCTTCAAAATGACAATATCCCTATTCATGTATTTAGTCTCACTAGAAGAGATAAGCCCAATAGGAGAAGAAAGATATCCATTCAAAAATAAGTCTTCTTGGAATATGTGAGAGGAGATAGACTCCACAATCACAGAATCCTCAAACTTTGAATGTGAACAAACAACCCCGTGATCCTCCACCATTTCTTGATCCACGCCATTTTCCGATGTCCCCATTTTCACTTTCTTGAAAAGATCAATTTGATTTAACAAAGCAGAGCTAAACAGACAAAAACCAAATCTTTTCCTACCTTCTGGTGTAATAAAGGTAGTACTACCCCCATTTTCAACCACCACCAAACGAACAAATCTCCCAAACCTGTATTCCTCAAAAGAAAGGGCAAGTTATCTAGACGTTTCATACCTAGTAATTCTCCAGTAATTCCCAGCGTGAAAACGACACAAAGCATCATAAAACCAATTAACTCCTTCCTCGACTAAAATGCATAAACAGTACCTCAACTATCGGTAATGTTGCATTTTAGTACCGTAACTCTTTAATGAAGCAAAACAGTACCTCAACTACGTTTAAATGTTGAATCCGGCGGTACCATTCAATATTCCGGCCAAAAATTGCCACTTGTCCGCCGGAAATCCACGTGTATGTTCTAGTCATCATTTTTTCCACGTCATTTGTGTATAATCCATGTCATTTGTGATGATTAAGCTATCAAAAATTGAAACATACCAAAAAAAACCATCACTAAGAGTCAAACCCGTGTCATTCACGCGCACTACTACTTACACTCAATACCACACCCATCCGGCTACAATTCCTATTGTTTACTTTTAACATAGAAAATATAGAAGTATCATTCTTCTGTTGTTTTGACTAGTTAACTTTATTTACTTTTTTGCAATCTCTAAATATGTTACACGGAGTATACCAAAGTATGTTTACATCATAAATCAGTAGTATATCATATATTTTTCACACCGTCTTATATATTTTTACTTTATACATTTTTTAATATCGTTTATACATTTTTGCTAAAATTATATTTCAAGTATTTTAGTCTAAAATTCCAACAACTCAAATTTCAGACATTCTTTTACTTTATATATGTAATATTTGTGTCACATGAAAGATTATAAAACATTACTACCTTCGTTCTGAAAAGGTTTGCCAAATTGACTTTTTGCTCAATGAAAATAAGCTTTGACCAATGAAATTTTTTACTAAGAAACTTTTTGAATATGAAAATTTTATCAAAATGTTCTTTACTAAAAAATGTTTTAATAAAAGTATATAATTTATAAATTATAAATTTATATTTTTTTAAAAAATTATTTATAAATTTATAAATTAAACATATTGTCCAAAGTTTGTGATCATTGATAAAAAAATTTGAACATGGTGATTTTTTTTGAGACTGAGGTATAATGAATATTGATATATTTTTTATGAAATATAAAACAAATAATAATTATAATACATTAATTTATAATTATAATACATTATAAGACATGTACTATAAAGTAAAATTATAATTAAACAATTTATAGTACATGTCTTATAATGTATTATAATTATAAGTTAATGTATTATAATTATTATTTGTTTTATATTTCATAAAAAATATATCAATATTCATTATACCTCAGTCTCAAAAAAATTCACCATGTTCAATTTTTTTTTTATCAATGATCACAAACTTTGGACAATATGTTTAATTTATAAATTTATAAATAATTTATAAAAAATTATAAATTTATAATTTATAAATTATATACTTTTATTATAACATTTTTGAATAAAGAACATTTTGATATAATTTTCATATTCAAAAAGTGTCTTAGTAAAAAATATCATTGGTCAAAGCTCATTTTCATTGACCAAAAAGTCAATTTGGCAAACCTTTTCAGAACGAAGGTAGTAATTTTTTATAATCTTTCATGTGACACAAATATTACATATATAAAGTAAAAGAATGTCTGAAATTTCAGTTGTTGGAATTTTAGACTAAAATACGTGAAATATAATTTTTAACAAAAATGTATAAACGATATTAAAAAATGTAGAAAGTAAAAATATATAAGACGGTGTGAAAAATATATGATATACTACAGATTTATGATGTAAACACACTTTGGTATACTCCGTGTAACATATTTAGAGATTGTCAAAATAAATAAATAAATAAAGTTAACTAGTCAAAACAACATAAGAATGATACTTGTATTTTTTCTATGTTAAAAGTAAGAGAAATGGTCAAAGATAGGAGTAAAACATGGTACGTGTGCCCAAATAGGAGTCCCTCTTTTTAATTGCAAGAATAAGAGTCTTTTTAATGGGCCTGGACATATTTACTCCGCTGTAATTTAACGTAGCCATTCGCCCAAGCACAATCTCTAAATCCCATCCTTATCTCTTCGAAACATCCCCTCTCTCCTGTTAGAACCGCAAACCAAATTTCAGCTCCCTCTCTCCTGTTGAATTCACACGATGAAGCACGTACAAGAGCAAATCTTTCCTTACAGAACCAGGAACCATGGTGCGGCACATATAGGAGCTAAATGAGATGAGGCGAAGGAGGCACGCGGCGGCGGCGGCGGCAATTGCGCAGCGGCGGTGATTGTGCAACGGCAGCAGTCCACGGGTGAGCCTTCATCTTCTACATCTTCTTCTTCTTCTTCTCCTTTTTCTTTTTTCCCTTCTTCTTCCCCCTTCTCAGAATCTAACCCTTCTTCTCTCCTTTTCTTGGACTACCAATTTCATTGTTATTTTTCACTAATTGTTTTGTTTATTTTTTATTGAGAATCTAACTAAAAGTTGTTATTTAAGAAGTGAAATTTTGAAATGGAATTTTTTGATAAGCCAACGATTTAAACCAGCTCCATGGAAGTTTTAGATCTATTTTTATAAGATTTGGACCAACAACAGAAAATTTTAGATCTAATTTTTATTATATTTTTTCTTTTTCTACTTTAATAAATAAAATTATTTTTTCTAATAATCTGAAAACAAAAAAAATAATACTCCAAAGTATTTGTAATTTATAGTGCCATGATGTCTAATACGGAAATGGAAATAATATCATTTTTATGGTTTCACTTTATCACAAGATGGCACAATATCACCTCTGATTTTTCTCATTTTATTGATTCCTCACTTTTTAAAATTTTGATTTTAAGTTCCATTTTTTTAATTATAAAATGCCATCAAATTATACGAAATTGCCATCTTTTTAAATAGAAATGCCATTTTATTGTATTTGTAAATGCCATGTTTTGAGATCTGTATATGCCATGAGATATGTAAATGCCATCTTTTTTTTTTTGTATCTGCCATGTTTCGAGATATGCAATTGCCATTATTATTTTTTCCAAATGAAGATGGCATTATTACTATGTCAAATGAAGATGTCATTATAATTATTATGCCAATGAAGATCTGTAAATCTTGGATGACAGATAGATGGCAGCAAGTCTGGCGGCTGTGTGGAGGTCAAGGCAACGGCTCCCTGAACGTTGCGGAGGTTATTTGGAGGCGGCGGCGGCTCTCCTCAGGCGGCAGGGTTTACCTGGATGCAGTAGACTCGACGGAGCCTGTGACAATGGTTCTTCCAGCTAGTGGCGGCGGCAGACTCCCCTGATGACGGGAGCGGACTCCCCTAACGACGGCGGCGGACTCAGTAGACTCGTCGGACGGCGGCGGCAGAATCATCGGGAGGCGACGGCGGACTCTTCTGACGGCGGCGGCGTACTGGCCGGACGGCGGTGGCGTACTGGCCGGACGGCGGCGGCGTACTGCCGGACGGCGGCGGCGTACTGCCGGACGGCGGCGGTGTACTGGCCGGACGGCGGCGGTGTACTGGCCGGATGGCGGCGGCATACAGCGGTGTACTGGCCGGACGGCGGCGGCGTACTGGCCGGACGGCGGCGGCGGACTCAACTGGCGGCGGCTGACTTGTTGGTCAGCAGACTAGCTGGATAGGTGCTGCCGTGCTGAACGATTGAATGGGAGGTTGGGTGGTTAAGGTTTTGATTTGTTTTTAGCTTTTCTATTTTTTAATAGTAAATAAACCTGACCCTTCATTAAGGGCATTTTAGTCCAGTCAATGCATTTTACTCCTACTCGGGAATGTTAAACCTTGAACTTCTATTTGTGCACTTTTTCAATGTTTTACTCCTATTAGGGTAAATACCCCTAAAAGTAAACAATAGTCATTGTAGCCGGATGGGGTGGTATTGAGTGTAAGTAGTAGTGTGCGTGAAGGATGCGGGTTCGACTTCCAGTGATGGTGTTTTTTGGTATATTTCAATTTTTGATAGCTTAATCATCACAAATGACATGGATTATATACAAATGACGTGGAAAAAATGATGACTAGAACATACATGTGGATTTCCGGCGGACAAGTGGCAATTTTTTGCAGGAATATTGAATGGTACCGCCGGATTCAACATTTAAACGTAGTTGAAGTACCATTTTGCTTCATTAAAGAGTTAAGGTACTAAAATGCAACATTACCGATATTTGAGGTACTTTTTATGCATTTTACTCCTCCGTCCTCATCAAGACAAATAGAAACGTTATGACCCTCTTTTATTTGACTGATTTTTAGCAATAATGATTCAAGATGAAAAAGATAAATTTTACTTTCAATGCAAATTCAAGTTTGAACCCACCATAACCCCTGTGATGTCCTCACTCCTCAGAGGGCTGGAGTTGCTTCTATTGCTGGTTTCCCCTGTTGTTAGCGCGATCAGAAAATCCAGATGGCCTTCCTGGTATCCATGCCGAACGATCTTCCGGGTATCCAGATGGCGTCCTCGTTCTGTCTTCCCTGAATCGCCCTATTGGCATCCCCTCCCTCGATCCCGTCCTGGCGTCATGTGACTAAAATTAACTAAAATTACTATGAGTATGCCATTACGATCACTATGATATAAAAAATTGAGTACACTTATAAATACAACTCCAACATAGTTATGAAGTTACATTGTTTTCTATTATGTTTATTTTATGCATATATTTGGAATTATAGAGTATTTCATAACTAACAAAATTATCACACAATTATCCAATCAAAGTTATATGTAATAAAAGAATGTGTCAAACACTCAATAAAATTAATAATGATAATAAGGTTCTGTTTGCAACAGTTTCTGCTTTTTAAAAAGTGTTTTTTTTAATGAAATGAGGAGAAGTGATTAAATAAAAGTTGATAGTGTTTGAGAAAAAAATGATTTTGAAAAGTAAAAGTGGATAGTGTTTGGTAAAATAAGTGCTTTTGTGTAATAGAAAAAGTAAAATCACATTTGACGCGGAAGCCGAGAAAAATAAAAGTTGTAGTGTTTGGAAAAATAAGTGCTTTTTTAAAGCCAAAAGCTGAGAAGTGTTTTTTTAAAAGCAGTTACAAATCAACCCTAAGTAAATTAAGAGAATACTCCAATCACAACATGCCCCAATATATAGTAGATATGGCACACCCTTTCCAAGAATGTATTTTGTATGCATAGAAATCCCCTCGTACTATGACATGAAAGATTACTTTTTTTAATTAACTTAACATAACAAAGCTAGGTAATAGTGTTCTACATCAATGTAGCTAGAATTTCTCTTTTTCTTC